CGAGTGGTATCTGTGTTTGGGTTCGAATCCCTTTGAAGCTCCGGATCGATTCACAATTGAATGACATTAATCGTTTATTGGGTTGCATACCTGATCAGGGAATTGAATAAATTGTTTTGCGAGCAAGAATCACATACATCATCAGTGCGTAGAGTTGTTTTGATCAGATCTCCACTGTTACGTTTTGCATAGTTACGTGGAAGACCTTCATTTGAACTGATCATCCTTNCAGTCAATGGTGGCACATCCGCCTTTTAGGCGATAGGTCTGGGGTTCAAAACCGGGACGGGACGATGGACATGCACTACTGATGAGCTCTAATTTAATGCTCCGTGAGTATCCGGTTGACCGCTCTGAAGATGGATTTTGAAGGATAGTTCGTCCGAATCAATATCACTTATTCTACACCACTATTCGCATGTAACTGTGTGGTACACATATGAGACAACAAAGACTCTCATGCTGACCTCTTGTAAACTGCTCACATGTGGAACCCACTGATTTGAATGCACCAAACAATTGATCATAATTGTCCCATTTAGTAGTAGTCCCCAACAGCATATCGCTTCCATCAAACTCATCCGTCTGATTGACGCAACCCGGCTGGCCCATTTAATTGCAATCTCAAAACAATTTCAGCTTTGGGGAGTGGGATGGAGAAGGGTACGGACATCCCGGTACGTAAAATGTACTTCCACTCATCGTGCAAATAGGAGTATAGCAAGCAGTACAATTTGATTGAATCACGTCTGGCCTAATTCCATCATCTCCGGGGTGAATTTTTCCCACAACTAATCTACACCACGAACAACTTTTTGTGGGTCGATGGAATGAATTCAGTCCGTTTGCATTTTTAAACCATACCACTGTGTGCACATGCGCAGTGGAATGAAACCAAGGGGAGGAGATGGAAAGAGAGTACTTTTACTTACAAGACAGTGCTATCGATCGAACAGATTGTCCAACCACGAACATTCCGAATGCTGAAGCACAGATCAACGTACCTGCGTGTCTGTGAAAACTAAATGGTGGTGATTGGAAGAGAAAGGCCAGCCAAAAGATCCGTGTATGTCTAACAATAAACCGGGGAGTTTTGTTCGAAAAGGCCATGAAGCAGCGACAGAAAAAAAAGATGAACGATTGACAGTCAGCACAACCAAGCAGCATATTCTCTACGGCAGCTCAGACACTTCGTGGATCAGATGGACATAGAGAGAGAGGGGGAAGACTGTAATGGGAGCAAGTGAAATTGCGGATTCCAAAGGCACATGTTTCACATCTAGCACACCGCAAGCAGGAAGGTTGCGTAGCTGTGTGTGTGTGTGCTCTCCAGCATTGGGGTAAAAAACTCCGATTTTGACCGCATAGTTGCTTGCTCCCATAGGAGGAGAATGCTGAAGGTATTGCTCGAGCGTATATGAGGAAATCTTAAGCAAGTTAGTGATAAATTGCACTGTGGTGACAATCCGATGAAGTACGAATGAACAATTGATCGCAACCCATGACAAATGAAAACTTTGTCTGAGCGGAATAAATCATCTGTGGTGGAATAGACAACAGACTATTAAATAAGGTGAAATTGGATCAGATAATGATTGTTAGTGGAGAGGAAGAACCGCGGCAAAATGAGAAACATTTCATAGGTGAATGAAACCCAAACATTTGACGTATTTTGTTCACAATTTCAACTGTCTGTCATGTGGGATCGTACAAAACGATTTAACAAAAACATAATCATTTGTTTCGTCTTCGGACCAACCAAAAGCCTAGAGGGTATAAATAGTACAATCAGTTGATTCAACAAACTGAGAGGAAAGCAAAGTTGAGTCACCAAGGGAACAGTGATCATCCTCCAAAAAACCCATCTGGTTTGACTGAATAACCTATGCGATCAACAGCAGAGGATGCATTGAAATGTTTAATCGGTACTGGTCTTGTGGTAGAACTGCATGCTACTTGGCGCACCATCAAGTCACAGCAGCGGGGACGGGGTGGATGATGACCGAATTAGTGGTTTCCAGTTATGCATCGGACGAGCTCAGATTTCCTGAATAAGCGGTACCGGATGAGCTGGGGCCGCCCAGTTGTGCTTAGCAAGCATTTCCCTTGTATCACCCCGCAAGTCTAACAACGGCAATGTGACGTGGCGAATGCAACCCGCAGCTAGCCAGGCAATTGTCTCCTGTCCCGTTCCATTTGACCGACAAAACTTTTCCGAGAACTATCGCCAACCGGCTTGTGTAGAAGGACCCTGTTGCACAAAAGGCTAAACGGGGNACTGAGCATTAATCGATAACTTGAATTTCTCGTATCCAAACACCATCATTGTCATTTTGTATTGTTGTCCGTTTTGTATGCCGTACTGCTCGTTTTGAATGACAGCGTATTTACGGTTGGCACGAGATCTGTATAAACAAAGTGTAGAGTGTTATCACACTTTCGGGTTGAGCTCACTACCGAACCCCAGACTAACGGAGAAGGTAGATAAGTTCGCTAGGAAGGATGCCATATTATTCCTAGCAGACGGATATTTTGGAAAGTTCTGAAATGCTTCCAGAGAAAGATCAGTTTGGCGGTTTTCGGAAACTGGATATAATCCATGGGATAACCGGAAATTTCGTTCATGAGTGGTCGGCATAGATGGAGCAGAGACATGGCCGTTACAGGTAAAACAATAACCGAGGACCACGGTTACCGATCGGTGGGTATTGCGCCAGTCGGTAAAAAGCCGGATGAGAATTTTTGGTTAATCGCAGTGTAGTGTTGGTCCAAGTGTTTAAAACTTTCAGATTTCAATGACTGGATAATGTATTATGCATATGAACAGATAAAATTCTTCGGATTGAGAAATTCGGTATTGGTAAAATAGTGGTCAAACTAGATCAAGGGATGATGCATAAAAAACAAGCACAGAAGGTGGGGTACCACTGAAGATGACTGATTGTTCTGAACTCTTATGAGACGGCGAGTAACCTTGCTGTTCTGCAGGATGCATACAGTTACCTGGAGGCTACGGAAACACCTTTAGAGGGAAAACGCCCTAAAATGCGGTCAGCGGTACTTATACGTCCAGTCTCCGAGATAATTCCTAAAGTTTCGCACAACATATTCACAAACCTCTCATCTGAGTCAAAACAAAACAGATTATATATCCTGCTATGTTGAACTAATTCCCAACGCATGGTGCAAAAGCATGGATTGTTCGGTTATCTGTACAGTCCCAGAGGTTGAACCGTGGTAGGTTCGGTAAGGTTTATTATACTTAATCCAGACTGCACAATGTGAAATATCTGGTTAGAAAGTAAAAGCATTCGAAGGCGCATGCATGATCGAACAGCTCAGGGAAGAGAAAAAAACTGCAATAATTTTGGCAGTCTATGCACGTGTGAAGTGCATGTTCGCACACGCACACACACACACATACTAAACTCACATTACGAGGTATTGGTCTATCGGAAACCACGGGTTTTGGCACTTCCAATCCCATTAGATCAGACTGGGGTAAAGCATCACTGTGCAACGAGTACTTTTTCGAGCCGACATTGGTTACCAGACTGGTTTTACGTTCCCCACCGCGTTCACGAAACGAGATCCCGTCGGGATCGAGTGCATCATACACCCCGCTCGTGTGCTCGCTCATGGTTTGTTTGATCACGGGCGGAGCACCGGTGTCAAATGTGGTCCACGAGTCCGTCCGGATTGTGCCCCCGGTCACGGGATTGTAGAACGGACCAAGACGATTACGACTAGCTGTGGCGGAAACCAGAGACAAATTGCTAGGCAATAGATTGGCCGAATGCAGTTTACGCAGAATCGCACAGGCGATACGACGAACAGCTATGCGGCTGAAGTGGACCGGTGGGGGTAGGACGGCAACCGGAGCCTGGTGGGGAAATGATTGTTTGGAAAGTGAAAAGCACGCGCTCAAATGAAGCATCAATAAAATTTGTGTAGAGTGATGGAAAAAACGTATTCATCAATTAGATCCATGAAGGACGACACATTCAATAATGCAGTAAAAAGGGGTTAACAACAGCAAGAACATGATAGGAATGAGGGCCTAAGAAATGACAGTATTGACTGACTACCATCTATGGGATCAAACAGTGATGGTGATGGACAGGTATGTCACTAGATACTGTTAATTACTGCTATTGTTCTGCGGAACAGAGGTTTCCAAGGCAGATATCAGTGAGTAAGTTAGATACGAGCATTGCACAAATAAGTGACAGCGAAACAAAGCGAAACGCATATTGGTCTATAAACAAAGTTCCCAATTCAATCGTGCATAATCATCTCAGTCTAACGGTCGATATTAAATAACGATGGAGTATTGCTGCTCCCAAATCCTCCAGTGTTTTAAGTAAACCGATACAAGGGGGAAGCTTTGATCTCAGTCGGAGTGGTAACCACTTATCTTTGAGCCAAACCGCCTCCGACAAAAGTACAGTCTCTGACAACGTGCACCGCAGATCCGTCGGGTCGAATTGCTTGACAGAATTATTACATCAAATGATGATGTTAAGCTATTCGACCAGAGGGATTTCAATATGTGAGATCGTTTAAGGTGCATCAGGTCTGTGTTATACACGCGATGGACCATTTGGCCACTGGTTTCCACCGAATCTCTGAGAAGCACGAGTTAAATAGCATTGTCATGTGAGTTTCACCTGAGTGATAGTCCGATGAAGCTGGCGTTCTTCTTTCTGTATCCCAAATCATTATGAGATGAATCACGGAAGGGGTACATCCACAGTCACGAAGACTTGCTATTCACTCATGATAACCCGTACCCTAAATCCTGAGAATTGAAGTGGCAAACCCACCTAAAGCGCAACAGATTAGACGTGGCACTATTTTGGACTGTGGTGAAGCTTCCTACTACAAAAAAATGAATATGGGTTGAAACAATGAACTTTAGGATACAAAACACACCAGTTACAGCGACTTGAACTGCATGTCCATCACAACCCTGAAATCGCTCAATGTGGCTCCAAAACAGTGCTGTACCACAACTAGATTGAACTGGTAAAAACAAACTAACTGGTATGCACCATAATACGATTCGAAAACTGATTCACAGGCAGAGCTAAACAGAACAATGGTTGTCTGTCCGGCAGGATGGAATGTAAGAATGCAAGTGAAAAGGTAAANCACCCCCCCCCCCCCCCCCCCGGGTGTAGTAAACTCCGCGGTGATACTTCTGATGATGATCGTTGGCGACGGTCATGATGGTTTAAAATTCATAGTATTGTACAATTTTCTTGTTGTAGTCAATCCACTTAGCCGAAGAATATTGAATGGCTCGATACAATGCCTAAACAGGAATCAAACGAGATAAGACAAATAAAACGATATGGATGTTCATTCACCTGGATCAATTACTCGCCATTCATTGTTTTACCAGTTGGTTGGTCAAAATGTAATTTGCCTGATCCTCCTACGGATTTAATCTCCATGTACAACACTCAAGGGATCCAGTTAACTATACACGCGGAATAAACTGGACTCGAGTTTCGCGCTTGTTAGATCTCATCAGTAGTATATCTTCAACGGCCCATTCGGGAAGCGAACTCCGGCCTCCTGACATAGAAGACGTATGATGATAGTTCATTTCAAGGATAAGCCGAGGCACCAATTCATGTCGAGTCATGTGCTTCTCAATGGTAGGATTGACTGGATGAACAGTTAAGTTCGATTGAAAATAAAGTGAAATGATTTTAGCTCGGAATGCAGATGTTGGTGTTGATGTGTTCTCTGAGATGGAAGTGTGGTTCGCAGACGCTTCGTAGCCAGGCTAAGCTTGCCCGAAGTTGCACTGATGATGTCTAAGGAAACAATGCTCGTTGGTCTTTGATAGGCATGACGGTGCTCTAGCAGCTGTTGGAGGGTGAAAATTTGATGGATGCATCCACAACCGGCGCGAAACCCAGCCTACTCATGCGCCTCGCGTATATTGTACAGTCGGTGGAGAATGATGGACGCGAACAGCTCTGACGTTATTCGGATCAGGCTTATACACCCATGATTGGCACAGTCACTGCACGGGTCTTTTTTAAAGATTAGGACGACAATCAATTCCCACTCACACGATGAGAAGACCTGCTTCAGTGTGCCAAACTTTGCAGAACAGAGTTGCCAATACTCGAACCAGCTTGATTCCAATATCGTTGAATGGAGCTGGGGGAAGGATCTCGGAACCCAGCGGTTTGTGACGTCACAGAGCTTATATTTCCTAACGGAAGTCCGCCTTCGATTGTGAGGTTTTCGGTCAATCGCGGTTACCCCAAACTTTGCGCCTAACTTGAGCATTACCTGTCCTGCTGCCCCACTAGACTCGAGTAATGCGGCGTAGACAGCGGTGTTCAAAAACCGAGTCTATTTTTACCCGGTTCATGTAATGGCCAATTCTTTGCACCGAAAATCAGGACTGGTCAAACTATTGCAGCATACGTCAGTGGATGAACCGTAAATTGTACGTGAATATAAATTCGAAAAGATGCTGTGTCACATTAGTATAATTTATGCAGCAACACCACTCACATGTGCCAGTGATTCCAATGTGAAGATAGATTTTATCGGATCGATAATATTCAATGTCTTAGACATAGTATGGTTCATTTGAGAAAAAATATTCGGTACGCGAAGATGTACAAAATAGCACATTGCATCAAGTTTCAGTCTGACTTTGATGAGCCGGTATAGGGTTACTGTTTGGATTGAACCCCAACACATCGGCTACGACAGAACACTTACCACAGTTCCATGATGTTGCGATGGAAAAGCAACACCTTCCTTCACCGTCTGAAGATTACCCGGTCCGCAACGATTTGGCAGTGTACCGACCAGAGCAGTTCGTTCGTAAGCCGGATTGGATACCGTATTAGTTGTGGTTGATGTCGTCGCCGTTGACGTCGCTGAGATCGTGGCCATCGTCGCTGTGGTGGTTGTGCTCGAAGTGGCGACCTCGACTGGCATTTGACCAACTGTTGTGGTTGTGGCAGCGAGCTGTTGTTGTTGTTGTAGCTGCTGCTGTTGTTGACTCACGTACGCGGTGGCCGCGGCCATCACAACCTCGTACGCGTCCGGATCAGATAGGGCAGCTAATTCGTTTTCTCGAGTAATCACCATCCCGTCTAGGCTGCCAGTGGATGTTGTCCGTTGACGCGATTTTTCCTCAATAATGCGAGCCATGATCGAACCACTGTGTGTGTGCGTGAACCCAAGCGGAGGGATTAAACGGGATAGAAAAAAACGACAAATGTGTGTGACACTGAGGGGATTTATACAGTACAAAATAGGTTCATGTCTGAAACAGATTTTCTTGGTATAATCTGAATTAGATGGTCTATGTTATTTGGATTATCTGTGAGTACAAAAAAGGAGAAGAAAAACAACAACCGTATAATGTTGTTTGATCTAAGGAGAAATTAGTTCAGTTCAGGACTACACCATCCTAAACTTCACACACATCTAAGTTCAGACAAACAAATCACAGCACAATGATCTTTATAAAAAGGATAGAGTTCCGTGATTTGCTTGTGGGCGGACTACTGCCAGGTTTCCCAGATCAAGACAGGTGAATTTTCCTGGGGGAATTCCCTAGCGGAGCCTTTGGCTGGCTAAAGCCTGATATACAGTGCAGCGGGGCGGTGTGTGAAAACCACAAATATTGGGGGTGATGTCCAGTTCATCGGATCGTACGCCCTTTGGACGGGATTCACCGTAATCTGTTCACGGAACTGTCTGGGTCCCTCAAGCATGTGTGCTTATCGGTGAAGGGAGGATGAGCGAGCCCATCTCAAGAGCTACATTACGATGGGAACATCACAACTCAAATTAGAGCACGACAGAACTAGACGGATTGGGGAGCCCATTCCGATGGACACGACTGCAAATTAGTGGCGATAATTTACTCGAATTTTTCTGATCGGTTCGTCCCACAATCTTGTGCGGAATGCTTTTGATCGTTTGATTGATTGCGTCATCTTCAGGTGTCCATTTTTGGACATATTGTAGGTGCATTCACTTGTGTAATTGTAATGGGGGAGCGGGCAGGTTGGCGGACTACACAAACGTGTCTCGGCTAATTTTAAAATCAAATCACACCAACGTGCTTAGTGAAAATTTCCAGTTTAAGAACCAGTAGCCTGATTTATTTAGAGATCCTCGGGCACAGATGACGCCGGTCCCATGAACGATAGCTTATTGTGGGCATACGATTCAGGCAACAACAAAAAAAATGCTTCTAGATTACACCCAGAGCAGAGCCCGTTCCAAACAAACACAAGTGAACAAAGTCGTTCTCAGTGATTCACAATCATATCAATATATCACAACCGAATAATAATGCTAATGATTTAATCTGGAAACCGAATTTTTCGATTCACAATGATCACATAGTCGTCCATGCATTCGATCGTCCAGATTTCAGATGGGGGAGGGAAGAGACAGGGGAAGTTAACCGCTTGCACAGAATGGTTTGAAGCACACGGAGGGGGGGGGGGGATGGGCTTTTGCAAATTAGTTCCTATTGTTCTTACGCTGGCCAGTATCCGATACCCAAACCTGCCTTGGTAGTCCACCGCGAACCTTACACCGCGGTCACATTCACAGTGTGATTCCTATTTCAACCGGGGGCCTTATTGCACGGTATAAATTAAGGGCAAATTTTAGTGCATCGAACGACGGCTGAAACAATGACAGCCACCCAACTTTGCTGTCGTTCGGTTAAATATCATGCCTAACCTAGCGGGACCTTATGTGATACAGCACTTTAAGTCCCGGTTTTTAGGTTACCGGTCTTAATCACTGGACAGAAGGTCCTTGTGACCATGGGGCTTTCTCCGTCTGCTATTCATCACACTAAACATGACACTAAAACGTGTCATTTAAAAAAAATATCTGTGTAAATAAGAAGCAAATTATTCCAGATACCAGTGAGAATACCTTAATCCCAGAAATCGAAAGTATACGGTATGAGAGACGCAATTGTGTCCCGTCGTCTCGTTCCTTCAGGACTTCTCCGGAATGAAAAACTAGGCAGCCAACCTCACGCTTCTCTGGAGCAAACACTGACTCACCTGGACTTCTCCACCGGTTAACAACACAACAATACGAATAACGTGCTTCAGCCCAGCTTTCACCATCTTTCCTCAACTACAGGTGAGAGATGAAACAGGAGCTTTTGGGGTGAACCTTCTCCAGATACTTTTGTGCACTGAGAACGGGGCAAAATTAGCCGGAATAGTTCAATAATTGATGATCCAATTAGTCTGTGACCAGATCTTGTGGCCAAATTCGAAGATCCTAACAGATTATACGAGGAAGTACAACCAATATGCATGTCCGCATACCTCGTACTCCTCTGAAGGAACCTGAGATAATCCAAGTGTGTTTAACTCGCAGTTAGTTGGTGGAGAGAGCGTTAGGCAACTTGGCCGTCGCTTATCTGTTCTGTTGGATACACTACAGCTCTACTGCGTGACACGATTCGATAAGGTTCACACTTAAATACCAATAGATAATCTCGCTCTCGCACACCAAAATACCGGTGTTTGTATAACACAATAGGATTGACGGTTCCACAAACCAGATATACGCGAATGACCCATGAGGAGTGACCAGTCGGACACAATGATGACCCGTCCGATTCGGACATATGGTGTTGCGAAGCTGGTCACCCTCTCTCTCGCGCGCGCTCTATCTGCATGTCGCACCGCAGCCTGTAGACAGACATCGTCACGAGGCCATAACGAACATAGTTGACCTCCAAGAACAAAGGGTACGTATGCCATAGGTCAATCTGTGTTCTTAAAGATTGGCTTCGTCCAGAGAATTGATTGGAAACTAAGTCATATTTGCATTTTTGGGTCGGTCAAGTGTAACCGTGCGTACTTGGGACACACAAGTCACCAAAACGTGAAGTGAGCGATGTGAGCTAATCGATGACAATCTCCCTCAAAACAACAATCGCCTATCGCGGTGTGTATGCTTTCGGCAAAGGGACAATCGGATTCAGTGGAAGAGAGTCAATATAGCCGGCACATGAGAGAGTATCTACACGTACTCGCCTGAGCCTGACAATCAATGTTTTCGAGCAATAAAGATGGTGCTGTCCGATTATTTGGAGTTACTGTGAACGACGTGCACCGGGTTTTGAAGTCTGTGATTCCATTCCCGCTACAATTTCTCAATTTTGGCGTTGAATAGCTTCGTTTTCATCCCGTTCAATATCATACTTTTGAAGTTCGACGTTTCGGCTTCAAAAACTAAGGATACCGGTCCTCTGAAGAGTCACTTCAATCATTTCGGTATTGGATCTATGATTTTGTGGACCCAACTGTCGAGTTCTAAACCGAGAGGGAATTCCTTAAAAGAAAGAGTTCCAGAGATTCTCGTTATCTTATGGGTCAGATTTTTTATTCAGAGAATCATTTAGGATTCTCGAACAAAAACTACTTCGTCCGTGAGGGATTCTGTGAAGTACGTAAGCCACCTCTTCAGGGCACCTAAACAGAGGAGAAATCCTATTGCATTTAGTTCTGAATGACAGGTAGCTATCTACTCGCAACGGTATATAATATATCCACTGACTTCATCAGAAAGCACACTTTGAAAGTGCGACGAAAAACGCTTTGAATGGTTTATATCTTGTCCAAACTATGCTATCCATCAAATAAGTGATAGTGGTACTGTTACAAACACGGTGATAAACTCACCATTTGAAGTTAATCGTTCTGTTTATTTACAATTACCCTGAAGAAGAAAAAATAATAATAAGTTTATGATCACATTCGCTGCGTTATTGCGTCGGGAGTTTTGGGTACGTATGGGACTCGCAGTTGCTATAGAGCAACGACGTTAGACCCGGGTATCTAGTCTGCACTCATACACACGCACACACACAAGATAGTTTTGCCTAAGTTCAGCATGTCTGGACAATTTGACGTCAAATTACTGACCGTAAAAATACCATTAGAAATTATGCACACACACACACACGTGCTGTCGATCGGGAGTCAGAAACAACTATCTGTCTGTTTGTTTGGTGATGTCCACTTATCTGACCGACGGATTGGACGGCGGGCGTTACCCTGCAGTTATTTCGCAAATGCATGCCGGAACCGGAGAACGCGAAAACATAAAACGAAGTCAGTCATAAATAGTCCAAAAACGAGCAAATCCCGTTTCTTCATGTATAATTTTCAGACAATGGCGTCCGGTCTCACAAGGGAGAGATAGCATAAATTCATACACTTGTCTGGGAGGGAGGTGGGCAGGCTAAAAAAAAAACAAAAAAAAACAAATGCGACACAATCTCGTGAGGTTCCACCATCAGTCGACACGATCTGTGACCAGGTGTGCATTCTTATCAATATTGTGGTTCTAATGGTCCCACCCTGTCTTGCAAAAGGAATAAGGCCTGAAATTTCATTTCATCTCATGTGGATTGGAAGAAGATTAAAGTTGTATGGAACATTTTGGTTATAAAGCACGAAGATAGGTCGGCATATTGAGTCAAAATACCACTTTTCAACAGCTGCTTCATTCTTGTCCAGAATTAATACCGAGATTTAGACAACAGGGGTTGGAATATCTGGATAATGTGAGGTGGCCCTGGAAAACAGGCTCCGTGTGCAAATCGCATAACATTAGACTTATTTTAACAAAGTGTTTCGATGCAATGGATTGTCACAAACAATAATGGAATTTTGGATCTCTGACTTGGGAGTAGGATCGAACGAGGTATGAGGGGCTTGGAAATCCGAAACGACGAAGCATCGACTGACTTTAAAGGAATGGATTGAAAATCACTAAACAAACAAATCGATCACGGAAGGATCGAATGAGCAAACAGAACTACGAATAAAAGCTAACCGTCTAGCGATTGCAAGCATCATCCAACAGACTGAAAATATGTGGTAACAGAACCAGTGGCCATCCAAGACCTCATATGCGGACGGATATCAGACAAACGGACCATTGATGAAGCGCAGTTCAATCTCATTAAAAAGTTGCTTCATCATCATCTCACATAACAGACATGAAGCAAACACAAACGAACAACGAAACCATGATGGACTGATGGGAAACTAGAATAGTTTGGAATAAAAAAAGAATTGAAAATGGGCAGAGACTGAGTGAGTAAGGAAAAGGAACTGACTATCGATAATCAGACAAGAATGCGTTTTTTGGTCTCCACTGATGAGTTGGCGTTTAGGGTGACCGCACTGATATCAGTTGGAGAGGATTTGGAGCAATTTTCAGTTTTCCGAAGACTCTCGCTCAAGCGACAAGGAAATCCAAAAAATAACTTCTAACACATGGAAAAATTATCGTTTTATCACGATTAAACTTATATTAATTTAAACAAGCCTCTGTAACTGCCTGATCGAAGATTGGGACAAACGAAAAGAGGGTAATCTTACCGTTGAAAATATGTTTTTCTTTCAGCGGAATGTTTGACAAAAGTACTGGTTCTCTTTTTGCCCCGTTTTTTCAACATATCGATTTGACGACGCGCCTCACGGCGACGGTGTTTGTGTCGCTGGGCGATTTGAATCAGTTCGTGCACGTAGAGTGGACGAAACAGAGCAATACCAATCTGCGAACGGAAGAAATGATGTTGTACCACATACGCATGAGAGAGAGAGATGGAGGGCGCATTGAAATTGCAATCGATGGGAAATATGGAATACCAATCAGACAAAACTAGACAAGTATGCACCCGGGGAAAGTGGCAGGCTGGACGAGCGACTCAAGTGGCTAACATAAGATGTGACAACAGACAATCGGTCGCATTTGTCGGCCCAGGCAAGCAATGCGACGATACTAGTCCCTTTGGAATTTAGGGATTTCCAGAATCTCTCACCCATAAAATCGGCGACTGAAAATCTCGATAAACACGACACTAAAGAAAAGCAGGTAAAACCTGTCTGAATTGGAGGACAAAACCTGATAGAGAACAGAATGTAACAGGAAACATTCAAAACCAAGACATGACAAAACAACGCCTCCCCCCCCCCCAGTTAATCGAACATGGCATGAAAACCTTAATAACGTACCAGAGTTTGAAAAAACAGAGCCGCGGTGAGTAGGAGTGTGCCACGCCAGGCGACATGACGCGCCAACGGACGGATAACAGCAGCCACAACACCCGATCCCAGACTGCCACCGCACATGGCCACACCGACCACAAATGCACGGCGATGCTCAAACCAATGCCCGACAACAGTGATGGCAGGAAGATAGATAAGACCGAATCCGATACCTGAATTGAGAGATTACGATCAGACAAGGAATAATGAGAAGAAGAATACGGGATAATGCGATAAACCGAGACTGCCATTCGGCCGAATGGAAATGTGAATTTAGTCTGACAGAACAACGAGATATCAGTGAACTGAGAGGACACAAAGCTCCAATAATACACATATATGTATTTAGTAGAAATGGAGGCACACACTGGATTGTAAGACGTTTATTGTAACGTCTCAGTCCAAAATAGGGACTCGTGGTGAAACGTTATCAGATTTAATTTTTCCAAATATATGAGCCAACCATCAGATTTGGTGACAGGATTGTATTAAGCGAAAGGTCTCCGCATTATTCAAGACAATAAATTCCGCGGGGGTGAATGAATTCTGATATGAACGGCATGTTGCGAAAAGTCTTGTGGAAACATAGGTGTTAAATGTCTTCTTACTTCCTTGTTTATTTAGTGAATACACAAATGTACAATCAACTTTCAGGAATAGGGCTGCAGCCATAGGAAATAGGGAAGACGGTGAAGTGGTTCGAACCCGGGACTTCAGGGTCACAGTGTGATGACCTAAGCACTTGGCCATCACCTGAATTTGCACTGATATTCACCAAAGTTCGGTTCCAATGTGGGAAGATTTAAGAAGTAATATTGTATGGCATGAAAGCCGCGAGAGCGGTGAGTAATCTGGATCACTAATCGAGAGACCATTAAACACCGAAAGATGTGGGGACGGTTAACGTTCTATCACCGGATCGAATTTCGAAAACATGTGACAACCGATTACCCCTTTGGACCCTGGGCCCACGGCTGGAATAAAGTGTGCAATTAGGAAGAACGAAGAGAACCAACGCGAGAAGAGAGGGAGAGTAAAATTACAGGCCGTGCGTAATCGGCTGGAGTTGATCCGTCTCTGGCACGGTTGGAATAACTTGCAACACCCAGCCGCGGGCAATCAGCTGTTCATGCGCCACGGACAGACAGACAGACAGACAGACAGACACACACACACACACACACACAAATGCCTGGAATTTTCACGCGTCCGGAGAGAACAACGTCCAAGGTCGTTAATGATGCATCTGTCCATAAAATGGAGTAAACGATAGACGTGCACACACACAGACCTGTGCAAACCATAGCCAGACTGGGCTCTCTCAATACCGGTCTAAAATGGCCTGACGAACAGAACCTCACCGGTATGCGAGTGAATGGTACGGTGTTGGGTGGGTGGAGGCGTGGTAACATCGAGGCTCCATTTTGGGGACGGTTTCGCGCGAATGACATGAAGCATAGTGAAAGACAGTTGGTGTGTTGCATACTGCACACGAGTATATATGGTCAGGTAACATGATATTATCCAATCTAGGCCAATCATGTGATCGACGGTTGTGTACTATTAACAAATAGGTCTCTTAGGGCTGCGGGCAGAACAAAGACAATGGGGCTACGAAAGCAGCAAGATAAAGATAACAGCCTTAAATTATATGCAATATCACAGTCTTCAAGTCGGTGAAAGTCTTAATGTAAACTTTGATAAGCTCAAAAAATGGAAACCATGTGCCGCATGTTTGATGTGTACAATCGTAGCCCACTAGATTGAAGCACAACTTCGAACAAACTCGTGATCTGTGCTAATCGGATAAATGAATAATTTTATGGCTACTGAGCTAGCACGTGCTAGATAATAGGATGGTATCCCTTGGAGGTGGGGGGGGGGCAGAAAGCCGCTCAGGGATAGAGCGCATTCGAACGATAATATGCTGCAGAGCCCTCCAATCGCTGCAGCTTCCCACCGCTCATCCTTTTACGTCACAGGTATTTCGACCAACAGTCGCTGATTGTGTGCTTGTTAATCGGTAATACGGAATCACATCTTACCCGATTAATTTCTTTGCGTTCTCCATTCCATTGTTCATTTTTATCATGACTTATCAGAAGTCAACGGAATACCACATTGGATTAGTGGTTGCACATCCGATTCCTGACATTGCAACTTCATTTTTGGACCGATTAACTTACCCTGATTGCCATGGACTGGTCGACTGACTGTTGTCTAACGTGGAAACCAGAGTATTAACTATTGGTGTGTGTTCCATTTCGCCTGTTCGCCAAACAAATTGCCAAGCTCGGCGAACAGGCGAAATGGAATTCAGTTCACTCGAGCTACGAGAACCGATTTTCAATATTGGTGTGCGTATCAACAAAGAGATTTTTCAGTTTCATTATTGACCGTAAATATTTACGACTTAGATTCCAGAAGGCCCCAGACCCAATCAATCCAGTTAACTTAAATCCAACAATTTTAAGGCGAACCGAAGAATAAGATTTGTGTGTGTGAAGGCCGACAGAGCATCGGACACCTGTTTTAATTCTGTCGGGAGTCGAGCCACGAACCTTCGGGTAAGGAGCCGGGACCAATCAAGTAACACTGAGCACATTTTCATAGGACTTGGATGATTCATCACGCTTTTACGTGGGTTTCACATCTTGGGATTTCATTCGTTCCCCACAATTAGAATACATTTTTACTGACTTGAATAGACCATCCCTCAGACTCTCTGTTCAAGCATAATGCTCACTTCATTCAGTCAACCATACCATTAGAACCCACCAATGATGCGTAGCCACCGTCCGGTTCGGACTTTAAACTCCGGACTCGTCGCATGCAGGGCATGTGTGATGCCACTGCATCAACCACGTCACAGCAGGACTGAGGGGAATCGCTGGGACGTCGTTTTCAGAGATAGTCATTTCTTTTTGGTCCATCACTCACGTTTTCCACGCAATCGGTCTGTAGTGCAAAGCCCGGACAGGACGGTGAATACGCATTATTGATGGGCTCTAATGGGGGCGAAGCTCGGGTCTAATGCTTCCCCAGCGTGTGGTTGGTTGATTGAATGAACAGAGGATTGTGTGTGAAGATGGAATCTGAAGGGGAACTAGTTCAAAGAAATAACAGTTTATGTGCCAGGAAATGTCTGCAACAGCTAGTGTACACCTCAGAGAGAACCAGGCTGGCTCGCGCAGTTGAGCTGTTATGAGACCATTGGATCGACTGACGAATAAAACCACAGAAGATCAATATGAAGAACGGGTGAGTTGACACAAGAGAAATTAACAGTAATTCTACGAGAGAGGCG